CATTGAGGGCATCCTCGATCCGAAAGGAAGCCCTGTACTGTAGCTGCTGACATATACCCAGTGGATCCAAGTTGCCCGTAGGGTAACCAGCCAATTTCCATTCAGTTTTTAAGGTGTCAGTCCCTTGGTCACCAAGGCGCGTGAATGGAGGTTCCCGAAACTGTTGCCCCTTCACAAGTCAAAAGCGCTTGGCAACCGCGTGCAAAGCGTGTTCTGTTTGGAGTACCTTTTGTCGCCGTGCGTGAGATTTTCAGGGACCTTCCAGATGATCGGTTCCTTTTTGGTTCCCCTCCAAAAGGGGAAGTTCCCTAGCACCATTCATCTCTGGCTGGTTGCAGGCAGACGCACTGAGACTTGGGGTTACGCAGAGATCCAGGTATCACGCTTCCCAAGCAAGACACATACATTCCACATTGATTGAACACCAAGGTCCGGAAAATGTGTCAAACAGCTTTTGAACAAAGGCGGAATTCAAGCACCTTTTCGTAGACTTTCTAATTTGCCGGAATTGGAACATCGAAGGTCCTGAGTGTTGAGAAGGCGAAGCGATCAGCTCAGATGGTCTTTCAAGAATTCAATCCCACAAAGGCGATGTTTTCTGTGAGGGTTGAACATAGGGTTTCAGGCCACTTTGTGCAATACTGCGTTCTAAGGGAATTCCCTTCAACTTGGTAAAGTGGTCATGGGAATGATCCATATTGGTATTACGGAAGGCTTTATTTCCACAACCATACCGTGAGGGGATCACACAAACTGACATTGGATACCATTGAGCCACAATAACAAACCTGAGATTTAGGATAGTAGGGGCCAGCCCCAGCCATATATAGGTGCGGATACGCCCTTTCCATTCCTGTAATACCAGGCTTTGATCATGATTGGGATGTGATATTCATGCGGCGATTTGGCTGGTGGTTCTGGCTGGCTCGCCATTTCCCAGATCACTCCACCCCCACTTGCGGAGTCGTATTTTTTGCAGAGCGCACGGAAGGAAAGGCTGTCCCCCTACCAAAAAGGGCCGATCAGTGAGCTCCTTGGTTTGACTGAGAAGGACATCAACAGAGCAGCAACCACCTGGTGGAGCCACTTGGTATTGAGATATGCAGTTGGATGAAAGTAGATAGCACGATTTCAGCCCGTTTTGGCTGATTCCCTGAACTTACCCCCTTTAATTGTGCCATCTACTCTACTTTCACCCTGGTGAATCCTCGACAACTCTCACAGGCCAAGGTCAACATGTGTTCTCCCCAAGCGATCGCGCGTTGGGCCGCCCGCCCTTTTCGCGTGCCTCAGCCCCAAACGACAGCAAGCGCCGTAGCCCAGCCGATCGCCCAAGCTCCGTTTCCACAGGTTGGCGGCAACGAGACGGATCTCACCGAGGCGGAGCTTGCCCCATGGGCCAACATGTCCAGTCTATGGTCCATCTGGGAGCGTTTTTTTTCGAGTCTCAAGTTCAAGGGACAATTGGAGGGTACCCATTTTTTCGAGGCTCGGTACCCATGTTTAAGGTTGGTCCCAAGGGACATCAACAGGACAACATCCATTTCTTGGGTTTCTTCATTGTGTTGACACATACCCATTTTGGGACATGGGGGGGGACTCACGAAATCCCCAAGCAAGAAGCATGATCGATCGAATGGCTGAACACCTCAGAGAGCAAACAGACAGAAGGTGTGCAAGACGGTCTGCGCAAGTCCAGGATGTACTGGTCCAGACGCACAACAAAAGCAAGTGGCAACATTCCGGGCACACCGACTCTCCCGGTCATAGGAACTTTTCCCAGGGGAACCTCCCTGATCAGGGCTGCTCCGAGCACAAGGAGCAACCTTGCTGCTTCATGACGAGTCTTGCATCAAACCTCATTACCTGGGAGGTTGCGCATCAGCAGAACCGTCGCTGGAGCCAGCGCAAAGCCGGTCTTGACGGTTTTATTCACGATGTTCAAAAATTAAATCTTGAATGCAACAGCATGTAGTTAGGTCAGGTTGCCTGATCCATTCTGAAGCATGAGCACCGCGGCAACAACAGTTTGTTGGGTTTCCTCGAATGACCAACCTGGTCGCTCAGCATCCGGAATCACAGCGAGTCATTCGCTGTCATGCATTGTTGTAAATATGGATACTGTGGATAGTGAAGAACAAGGATACTGAAGATTTGACATTGCTCTTCCACACGTTCCTGGAAAAAAATCTTTTACACCTCGCAAGCAGAGGGGAAATGGGTGCTTCAACTAGGTCATTTCGCTGGGTGTGGTTTTCCCTGGTGAGACACGGGAGGTGCCGTGGCTTGGCATGGACTCCTGTGTCTTGAGCGAGCAAGCGAAGAAGCGATGGATCTTGTTGGTTTCTCCCACGACTGGGCAATGAGCCCCAGCCCAAAACAAAGAAGAAAACATCAACCGACAAGTTAGACCCGCCCCAACTTGCAACCCAAGTCTAAGCCAAAGCCAAAGCTGCCAGGAGAGAAATCAGCAAGAGAAGCCAACCAGCCGTTCCTAGCCCGGACCTTTCGCTGGGCATGTCAAACCGTGCAGGCGCAGGTGCGCGGCGACGGCGAGGCGCGCCCAAAGAAACCTCGGTGTGTGTGTGTGTGTGTGAGGGTCCATTTTTTTGTGGGGGCTGGGACCCCAAAGTGACTTTGGTTCTCCTTTTGGCTTTCCATGAACATCCTCCAAACAAGGGCTTCCCGCCAAAAAAAGACACATCCACGCGCTTGGAGGGTAAGCACAGGGAAGCCAAAAGGAAGCCAAAGGGAAGCCATCGACTCTCAAAGCTTCATGTGGGGCCTCAAATTTGGGGACCTTGCATGGCTTCAGTTTCGGAGGTGTCCGAAGGTTGCTTGCCCCCCTCGTGAGAACTAAGTGCCAAATGGGCTGGACCTTTGTGGTGGGGAAATTGTCATGTACGATTTTGTCGGCACCGTATCCATGCCCCAAGATAGGGAACCCCCCCCCAAAATGGCGGGGTGTTTGTTTGCGCTTGGGTCGAAAAAGACCTGACAAGGATACCCGCAAAAACAACGCACCATGTGATTGCGGGAGGGTACTCTCCGTGATCCTTTCGCGAGGTCCCCCAGCCCTTCACCACGCCGGGGCGCCCAGAAAGGCCTTCCAGGGCTGCGCGGGATGGGTGGTGCTGGGGAGCCACATGCCCGCAAAGTTTGTGGGGAGAAGCAAGCAAGCAAGCAAGCAAGCAAGCAAGCAAGCAAGCAAGCAAGCAAGCAAGCAAGCAAGCAAGCAAGCAAGCAAGCAAGCAAGCAAGCAAGCAAGCAAGCAAGCAAGCAAGCAAGCAAGCAAGCAAGCAAGCAAGCAAGCAAGCAAGCAAGCAAGCAAGCAAGCAAGCAAGCAAGCAAGCAAGCAAGCAAGCAAGCAAGCAAGCAAGCAAGCAAGCAAGCAAGCAAGCAAGCAAGCAAGCAAGCAAGCAAGCAAGCAAGCAAGCAAGCAAGCAAGCAAGCAAGCAAGCAAGCAAGCAAGCAAGCAAGCAAGCAAGCAAGCAAGCAAGCAAGCAAGCAAGCAAGCAAGCAAGCAAGCAAGCAAGCAAGCAAGCAAGCAAGCAAGCAAGCAAGCAAGCAAGCAAGCAAGCAAGCAAGCAAGCAAGCAAGCAAGCAAGCAAGCAAGCAAGCAAGCAAGCAAGCAAGCAAGCAAGCAAGCAAGCAAGCAAGCAAGCAAGCAAGCAAGCAAGCAAGCAAGCAAGCCAAGCAAGCAAGCAAGCAAGCAGCCAGCAAGCAAGCCAGCCAGCAAGCAAGCAAGCAGCCAGCCAGCCAGCCAAGCCAGCCAAGCCAGCCAGCCAGCCAGCCAGCCAGCCAGCCAGCCAGCCAGCCAGCCAGCCAGCCAGCCAGCCAGCCAGCCAGCCAGCCAGCCAGCCAGCCAGCCAGCCAGCCAGCCAGCCAGCCAGCCAGCCAGCAGCAAGCAAGCAAGCAAGCAAGCAAGCAAGCAAGCAAGCAAGCAAGCAAGCAAGCAAGCAAGCAAGCAAGCAAGCAAGCAAGCAAGCAAGCAAGCAAGCAAGCAAGCAAGCAAGCAAGCAAGCAAGCAAGCAAGCAAGCAAGCAAGCAAGCAAGCAAGCAAGCAAGCAAGCAAGCAAGCAAGCAAGCAGCAAGCAAGCAAGCAAGCAAGCAAGCAAGCAAGCAAGCAAGCAAGCAAGCAAGCAAGCAAGCAAGCAAGCAAGCAAGCAAGCAAGCAAGCAAGCAAGCAAGCAAGCAAGCAAGCAAGCAAGCAAGCAAGCAAGCCAAGCAAGCAAGCAAGCAAGCAAGCAAGCAAGCAAGCAAGCAAGCAAGCAAGCAAGCAAGCAAGCAAGCAAGCAAGCAAGCAAGCAAGCAAGCAAGCAAGCAAGCAAGCAAGCAAGCAAGCAAGCAAGCAAGCAAGCAAGCAAGCAAGCAAGCAAGCTAAAGCAAGCAAGCAAGCAAGCAAGCAAGCAAGCAAGCAAGCAAGCAAGCAAGCAAGCAAGCAAGCAAGCAAGCAAGCAAGCAAGCAAGCAAGCAAGCAAGCAAGCAAGCAAGCAAGCAAGCAAGCAAGCAAGCAAGCAAGCAAGCAAGCAAGCAAGCAAGCAAGCAAGCAAGCAAGCAAGCAAGCAAGCAAGCAAGCAAGCAAGCAAGCAAGCAAGCAAGCAAGCAAGCAAGCAAGCAACATCAAGCAAACAAACCAGCGCGCGACTGCAGAAGTGACAATGAGGTAGTATTTTATGCCCTCTGTCAAAAAGGCAGTCCAAATTCACATTGGATGCATCGCCAAGTGAGGGCTGGCGGCTGGCTTTGGGTTGGGGTCAATCGCTGCTAAGCGTGTCGCTCCAGATCTTCTTCACCTGGACTGGAGAGACTGGTTTAAGCGATCAACCCCTGGTTCCCGTCAAAGGCAAGCAACAAGTAATCTTGCATCTTGCACCGCAACCGCCTTTTCAGGCCAAGTTGGGCCCATTTGGTTTACAGATTGCAACTGGTCGAAAACCAGGGTGGTTTTCTGGGAGCGGAGTTTGAGGTTCAACAGCTGCGGGTTCCCGAAGCCCATCATGGCCACCTTGTTCTCCCTGGGCTTTGCGGCGCCCACCCCCATCCAGGCAGAGCGGAGGGCGGAGGGCGGAGGGTGGGAGGTTGAGCTTGGAGGTTGGATTGAGGTTGGAGTTGGCAGCAGATGGGCTTGGCTTGGTTGGGCGGTCATGGCTCGGAGTCCGTTCAGGGGATTTCATACAATCGGAGGTTTTGTTTCCAGTCAGCCAAGTCCCTCCTTCCCCGAATTCGAGGACATACAGAGATGTGTCTCACAAGTGAGCCCCAATGCAAATACCGTGCTTCCTCATTCAGAAGGGCTTTCCCTTTGGACGGGCAATCTGTTGGCCCCAGATCCCATTACTTTTCTGGAAATGCAAGCGAAAAGCGGATTTCGCAGGCAGCTGACCATCGGGTACCCAACGGGTAATTCCAGGGTGGCTACTTGCTGTACAAGGCTACATATTGGACATGTTGGAATTGTTAGGAGTCACTCAGGAATATGGCAAGTGTGCTTGAACATCTTGGTTTGTTAATGTTCACCACTTCTGGACAGTTTGCTTCAAGGCATTTGGTCGCATGCCGCGGAGGATGTCAGTTTTTGGCGGACCCTGAAGATGCCCTTGATGCGGGGCCGAAAAGAAACGCGCTCGTCCCGGCCTTTTATGCCCATGCGGGTCCGCCGAAGGGGGCCAAAGTTTTTGGGGACTTCGGGTGGTTTTTGGGAGAGGCTTAGCTTACTCGGAGCCCATGGAGCCGGCTCCGACAGGCCTACGTCTGGCCAGTGGCCGCCGCGGCGCGCGACGTCATAGGCATCGCCAAGACTGGCAGCGGCAAGACCCTGGCGCCTTGGGCACGGGATGTGGGATGGGCGGATGAGAGGTGGAGTTTTGCGTGTTTTGCGTGCTTGCGTGCGTGCGTGCGTGCGTGCGTGCATGCGTGCGTGCGTGCGTGCGTGGGTGGGTGGGTGGGTGTGTGTGTGTGTGTGTCACACCTGTTGGCCAAGGTTTACCAGTGCCCTTTGTGACATTTGACCGCCAAGGCATCCACAAGAGCAGGCTACGACCAGGCGTCCCACAGACACCAGATCAGCTGAAAAGCAGTCTAAGTGTGCAACTTAAAAAAAGAAGAGAGTGGAACCCCACAGGGCCGCAGCCTGCACAAAACAGGCTGATTCGTTTTGAGCTTGTCACCGATGCAGGGGGCCCAAGAGCGGCCACGCGGCTTGGGCCAACGAAGCTCCGCGTGGTACGCTAGGATATGATTGGGGACGCCCAATGACGTACCTGCATCCTACTCTCCCAAGCGGGAGTTTAGCACAGTGTGTGTGTGTGGGCGCGCATGTTTGGGTTGACGCGTAGCTGTGAGCAAGTACGTGTGCGAATGAGTGTGTATGCAATATATAGATATATATGTATACGGTATATATCTATGCCACAGACTCAAGGCGGGCTCGATGTATATTTCTTTATGTAATGGCCTGCGGCCTGGTTCCGCCGCCCCCACACACCTTAGAATTTCGGCCCGGGACGAGAGAAAGCACGCGTGCACAGACCCGTTCGCGGACACGAAGACAGACGCAGAGACGTAGACAGACACAGACAGACACAAAGACACGCAGACAGACACGCAGCGAGGGGGAGGGTCTTCGCGGACACGAAGACAGACGCAGATGCGTAGACAGACACAGACAGAGCCAGACAGAGACAAATAGACACACACACACACAGACACGCAGGGGGGGGGGACACGAAGACGGACGCAGATACGTAGACAGACACAGACAGACACAAAGAGACAGAGACAGACACGCAGGGGGTCTTCGCGGACATGAAGACAGACGCAGACAGACCCAGGCAGACACAAAGAGACACAGACAGACACGCAGGGGCAGGGGGGGGTCTTCGCAGACACGAAGACAGACGCAGATACGTAGACAGACATAGACAGTCACAGGGGGGGGGGGGCGGAGGGGTGGGGGAAGACTACCCGAAGCCTAAGGGAGGAAGCCCGAAAGCACAGGACGCGAGATTGAGTCCTAACGCGCGTTGTTTGGTCCCGAAACATTATCGGAAGACTAGGAGAAGAAGCACAGAAGACTACGGAAGATTGCGGAAGACCACGGAAGACAAAGGGGGGGGGGGGGGGGAGGGGGGGGGGGGGGGGAAAAATGGAGAAAGTAGGGGGCCTGGGGGAAACCTATTAACCACCTTATCCGTTTTTAAAAGAGGGTTTTTAGGGAGCTTATTTATCGTTTTCGTTAAGGTAATCACTTGGGTAAATCGTCGCCTTGTTCATTGTTGGGCTGGGGGCCGACATTTTTTTCATTTGAAAGAGTTAACCCTTTTAGTAGTTATCAAGTTCTGGGGTGTTGGTGGTGTATTTGTTTTGTCAGTATTTTCTCATTAATTTTCATTTATAGGTTAAAAGTTCAGTATAATTATAACATATAAGATTTTACATATTATTATTATATTATGATTATAATTTCAGTACAGGACAATAATTTAATTGACAAATCTTATTTATTTCATACATCATTTTAAAATAATATTAATATCTCTCACTGTATTTTGAACATTAAACTTTTTACTTTCAATAAATAATTTGATATTTTCTTTAACATCTTCTCCTTTCTCTTGACTATAACCCAACATCCATAATATATCATAAATCATGTCATATTTTCTTACTAATTTAAGAAACCGTTTAACATATTCGTAAGGTGGTGTTTTATTTACAGATAGAAATATTAAAATCTCATCTTCTACATTTCTATTATGTCTCCCTTTTATTCTCAACAAACATTTGATTAAAAATTGATTATCTCTCCATTCCTGACAAATTTTACATTCGTCTTCTTCATCCATTGAACAATTAATAATATTATTCACTATTTCATTAGGTAAATTCAATTTATACAATTCCATATTTTCTTTTTTGAAGTGACAACAATCATAGCATTTTTTATTGATATAATTATTGGTATAATTTTTGATTTTATCACCGTTCATTTTCCTCTTAATATATATGGTAATATTTCTTTAAGTAGTTTTGGCTAGGGGGTTGCTGGTCCCCTGTTATGTTTTTTTTGTAATCATCTCAAACCTATTAACCACCTTATCCGTTTTTAAAAGTAGGTTAAAAGTTCACTATAATTATAACATATAAGAATATAAATGTTATAATTATGGTTTAGTTATGAATTACACAGGTTCATCAACAATTAGTTTAAACCTTATGTTTTTTACTCCTTCAAAATTCATTCTACTTCTTTCGCCATCAATACATCTGTATATTGTTTGATGCGCCGCTCTCATTACATCGGCTATATTATCTATGGTTATATTATCTACAACATCATCACTACGAAAATGAAAACTAAAAGTGTTAAAATGGTCGTCTTCATAATAATTGAAATGATGAAACCTTACAAACATATCTACCTCAACTATTATCACGGCTTCATAACCGTTATCGGTTTCAATGTCATCTAACAAACAAGCTAAGTTTTCATTTTCATTAAAAACTATATCTTTGATGCTTTTTATGCTTAAAGGTATATTTCTTGAAATGTAATACTCAATTGCGTGTCTCTTTATATCATCGCCATCTTCAACAGTATAGCGCTTTGTCTTTCTTTTTGTTTCTGTTCTGTTTATTTTATATCGTTGTTGTATTCTCTTTAATGTCTTAATATGATTATGTTTTATTTTCAAATACTCAGGTTCCCCTATTTTATATGAAATGATACCTTTTAATACATCAGCAGGTAAGCTAGCACAATTCTCAACTATAAAATTATTCTCTGACATTTTACCCTTACTCATTTTTCTCTTAATATATAAGGCTTTTTCTCTTTAAGTAGTTTTGGCTAGGGGTTGCTGGTTGGCCAGTCTGGGTTTCAGGTTTAATTTAATTGTCTTAACCTTCTTGTTAGATTATAAAACAATGTTTAATCATATTATAAGATAATAATATTAATAAACAAAAGTTAATTTGACCCGTATTCAATCTCACCAGCGATACAACCACTATAACAACTCATACTATACTCGCAACAATAATGCTCGTATCCTTTTATTAATTGGTCTGTGTAAATTTCAATTAAGTCGCTTAACATGTTTCTCATATAATAATTGTTATTTCTATATGACCACCAATTGTTTAGGTTAGGAAAGAACAAATCACTATTTTTGATAAACTTTAATTCTTCAATTTTAAGACAAATTTTAAAAGTACAGTAACTTCTTCTTGATTATTCTTACAATATGATTTTAATCCTTGATAATACATTTTTCTTGTGTTAAATCTTTCTTTAACCTCTTGTTTATTAAATATTCTGTCAATTCTTTTTCTGTATTGTTTGTTAACAAAAGGGATTACTGTTAGACATGTAATATCGTTATTTAGCATTTGTTCAATAATCTTTAACTGAAGCTCTGCTTTTTCCAGACCTTCTTCAGGAATGTGTTTATCACTCATAAAATGCTCTTCTTCATCTCTCAAATACCAACAATCAAAACATCTTGGTTTAATATAAGCACCTATAAGATTACAATCATTAACAGGTAAAATATTAGCTAGTGCCACGACAGACTTACATTTTTTATTTTTACAAGGACAATTATCATAATTAAACAGTGTCATTTTTTCTCTTACTATATTATGTCCATTTTTCTTTAAGTAGTTTTTATTTTATGTTAAGGGGCGGGGTTTATGTTGTTTTTTCTAACAATTAATATAACGGCGAGATTAACAAAAGACCAAATAATCAGCAACATCTATTACGACTTAGACGAGGGTTTCGGAAGCACACAAGCGACACATAAGAAGGCAAAGGAAGAAGACCCAACAATAACATTAGACGATGTAAAGTCTTTCTTAAAGAAACAACGAAATAAACAAATCAAGAATTATAGAGGTACTAATTCCTATACCGCTCCATTCGCACGATATGAATATCAAATAGACATAATGCATATGTCACCTTTAGCAAAAGACAAGATCGTTCCACAGTATGCTTTAGTCGTGATTGACATCTTCAGTAAATTAGCTGATGTAATACCGATGGAGGAAAGAGACGGAGAGCACGTTTTGAAGGCGTTGAGAGCAAGCTTTAAAAAGATGGGTTATCCGATGTCCGTGTATTCCGATGACGATGGCGCGTTTGCAACTAAAAATCAAGTTCAGGATTTCTTCAACAGTGAAGGAATAAACCACATCGTCACGAAGACCCACGCAAATGTAGCCGAGCGTTTTATTAGAACGATGAAAAACAAAATTCACGATAGAGTTAGGTTTAACAACATGAAATGGACCGAAGCCCTAACGCCAGCATTGAAACAGTATAACAGCACATCTCACTCATCAACAAGGATGACACCGTCTGAAGCACACAAGGACGACAATGAAATAAATGTAAAGGTCAATCTTAAACTACGAGAAAAAACAAAAGAAAGTATCCCAAAATAGAGGAGAACTGTTTCCAAAAGAAAAGGGGTAATTACACCGACAGAAAGGAGTATAACTCTAAATGGTCTAATAAAATATTCAATATTGATAAAATTGAATATGATATTATGGGTAATAAAACTTACAAAGTAGCCGGAATAAACAAACCGCTTTTGAGACACGAAATTTTGTTAGTTAATGATTAAACGTATTTCTTGGTGTCTTCTTTATACTTGACTTGATAGTAATCCAGACTTGATTGTTTAGGTTCTTTTATGCCTTTTTCATTCAGTTTTTTAACATAAATGTTTCGTTTATTTTTGTATTCGCTACTGTCTCTATCTACTTCTTTTGCTTGGTAATTGTTATTGTTATTATATGTAGGTTTAA